CTTTTTTTTTTTTTTTTAATTTTTTTTTTCAACGTTTATTTATTTTTGGGACAGAGAGAGACAGAGCATGAACGGGGGAGGGGCAGAGAGAGAGGGAGACACAGAATCGGAAACAGGCTCCAGGCTCTGAGCCGTCAGCACAGGGCCCGTCGCGGGGCTCGAACTCACGGACCGCGAGATCGTGACCTGGCTGAAGTCGGACGCTTAACCGACTGCGCCACCCAGGCGCCCCTACATTTTGTTTATCTATTCATTTGTCAAAAACACTTGGGTTGTCTCTACCTCTTAGCTATTGGGAAAGTTAGATTTTTTTATAGTATTGCTAATTTCATAGACAAGTAAGAGCTCTTTTAACTCCCATCCCCAAATGACTGGAAAGACAGAGCAATTCTCCTTATGACTCCTGCTTACTGACTACACACATCTTCTCGTCTATCAACTGCCTGTCTGTATCTTTGATTTTCCTTCTTCCCTCCTTCCCAACCCACCCCTCTCTCTCCTCTTCTTGTAGGACTTATTTTTAAATTCCAGACACTAATCCTTTCCCTGTTATATTTATTACAAAATCTTCTCCCAGTATATGACTTATGTTATACCACAGTTTCCCATTTTGATACAGTAAAATCTATCAATCATTTCCTCTACAGTTTGGGCTTTGGTTGTTTTATTGAAGAAGCTCCTTCCTACCTTGAGATCACAAAGATACTCTCCTATTATTTTTATCTAAAAAGTTTTAGTTTTACTTTTCACATTTAAATCTTTCAACTACATGGAATATTTTTTTTTTCTGCACATTGTGAGATGGAGATATAACATTATTCTTTTCCATAAGCCACCAAATAAGAACTGAGCCCCTGAGTCCAGGACAAACTGAGGATACCAGAAGGTATCCAGGTGCAGGCCGTGAGGCCTGGAGGACACCAAGCACATCACCCAATGCGGTGCCCACAAGTGAGGGGTGAGAAAAATGTCCCACAAGGACTCATACCCACACAGGCCCAGGACACAAAGAGAGAAAGGAAGAGTTCTGACTTCTGCGTCAATCGGTGCCTCCACCAGTGACTGGAAAAGGTCCAGCTTTTAGACTGGAGTGTCCCGACTTGTGGACAGTACCTCAAACATTCCAATTAAAAATAACTTCAAATGTGGCACAAGAACAGACACTCAGATCAATGGAACAGAATAGAGAACCCAGAAATGGAACCACAAATGTATGGCCAAATAATCTTTGACAAAGCAGAAAAGAATATTCAATGGAATAAAGACAGTCTCTTCAGCAAGTGGTGCTGGGAAAACTGGACAGCGACATGCAGAAGAATGAACCTGGACCACTT